TAAGTGACCTCTGGACACCAATGTTGGGGGAGCTTTCCTAATGCCACTGAAACCAAGGATGGAGCTTTTTTCATTTATTTCCACTGACTGACAATCCTGGTGCATGTTTTTTTTACCTACACTGACTTAGTAATCCTGTGACATGTTTTAATCATACTGAATACCACTCCAGGATATGTGTGAAGTTGGCCGCAGCACACACAAATGGTATATTTGTATTCATGTTTTACAAACGGGGTGCCAACTTCACATAGCTCACTCCAGGGACTTTTTTTACTCCCACTAACATCCAGGCATTTCTTACTCCCGCTGACCGCTAGCTTAAGCCTGGCCCCACAGCAGTCTGAAGGACAGTGAACTTGCCCTTTACGTACCCCTGCTCTACATAGTTTATCAGCACCTGTGTCAGCAATTTCTACAACGTGTTTGCATATTGAGAGATCTCTGGGTTTCCCTGGTAAATCAGGAAAAGCAAGTATGAACGGCTACGTAAGGTGTTAGAATACTTGTGGCTGTTGCGACAACATTAATTTTCAAGTGGCACACCCTTGCTCGAAGATTTGCCCATTGAAACCATGCACGCCCTGTATCTTATTTACATTTTTCTACTCTTTAAGTTGTCACATGAACAGATTTTACAAAGAAATCTATATAATATATAACAAATCATTTTTACTGTTGTATGCCAACCCCACCTTGTATCCTCCAATTTTACATCTTTGGGTAATTTCCTTCTACGTTTAATAGGTTACATCCTATCATAACCTCTAGCACAACAGATTTCATAATGTTTAATTATTAGGAGAGAGTCATATTTATGAAAGATGATGATTCTTGATACACACATAACCGTGCCCACTTGTATACTACGAGCTTGCATTGCGCCTTATTGTGGCAATGATGGATCAGTCAAAAAAGACCAACCTGGCCAATAAATAGTCTTTGAACAAAGGTTATCTGATACTTTTATCCTATAGACACTGAATTGTTATCTGAACCTGAAGGTATAAGACAATTACAAGTACAATCTTTGTATCTTTATTATAGTTTTACTGCTTACCTATAAGGCTAAAATACTGTTGTAGCTGCCTTGATTTATTACTTCACACTCTTGAACAGAAACGTATCAAATTTATACCAATTCCACATATTCAGCCTCTGAATTCTAATTTCAAGATGGAAAACATTTTGTCCACCAGTGTAAAATAAAGACATTGTTGTGTAAAGATGCTCCGGAAGCCTGCAGATGCTTCCAGCTTCAGAAGTCAACATATTCCTTCTAGTGTAGAACTTATTGACTGGCAGTATTTATATCTCTTCAGGTTTTTGGTAGTAAATGATGAGGGTATGAGATTGGTAATCGGAGTAATTCAAAATTAACCATATTCTATTCTCTGCATTATTGAACCTGAAATCCAAGTGGAAAAATTTAACTTGAGTTGTCAGATGACCTGCAAGTAACATTGTCAGTAACTGTATCTCAGTTCTATGTTTTTCTTGCAGAAATCTCACTAGTTGTAGCGAGCTTCTGTTTTGGTGATTTACTGTTTTTATATAAATATTTTAAAATCCTTATTACTGTTTTCAGCTTTTCCTAGCTATGCATCTGTAAAGTAAAACCAAGCTATTGTATATTTTGAAGTCCTACTAGTGATTTTATTAGTTTATTATTACAGGTAGCGCCACAAATTTACACATTCACATCAGTCCCTGACCTCAAGAATCTAAGGTCCCTATCTCACGCGCATACATACAGGGCCAATTTACCTTCCAGCATGGCATGTGGGAGGAAACCAGAGTACCCCACGCAAGCACAGGGAGAACATGCAAACACCTGGCAGATAGTGACCTGGCTGGGGATAACCACTACACCATTGTGCTGCTGATGATTTCAACAATCTGGCAAAGGGAATATGGCGACATATTGGGCAAACCACTGGGGTATTGGTAGTTATTAAAAGGATTAAGAAGCTTTGTTCTAGTGCCTGACACTCGTATAACTTAATTTCACAAGGCTGTCCTATAAATAAATCCTGAAAATTGATACCACCTTTTTAGAGAGGATAGGTACTAGTGGTCCACATCTGTATTTAGACCACACTAAATTGGAAAGTCTACTGTGTTTTTCCAAACATGCATTTCCACAGACTGCTTAGAGGTACGTCTTTTGTTCTACAGACTCTACAAGTAAATACAGTGGAGCATAAATGTCAATGTGCGCACTTATGTTTTAGTGCTTTGTAAATGACTGCTATTATGTGTTTTCTCCAGCAAGGAAGTGTTACTGAGATGCTGTCTACGGGTCTAGTTTTTATTACTGTCAGGATGTCAAGTTTACTATATGCCATATCTGTTTTCTTATCAGGTACATATATATGAAGATGTGATTGTGCTGACATGAAACATTAGTAACTAGAAAACAAACAAACATATTTAAAGGAAATGTATATTTAAAGGAATTGTATAGTGGCATTTTAATTGTTTTATTTGGTTATATTATGTTTTGGACCGAAGATTACAATAGAAAATTTTTATTTTTCTCTCCTATAAACATGAAATATTGCATATGAATATATCATGATGATCGTGTTTAACCAAAGGGTGGCATTTGAGTCAGCTTTAAAATGAGTCAAGAAGCAATATTAGAAAAACAATGCTGTAAGAATAGTTGAAAAACCTGATCAGAAAACAAATACAAGATACAGTTCTGTATTCTTACTCCCACTTCTCTCCACCAATGTGCTTTATGATAAGTAGAGCATTAAATATTAATGAAGTTTCCAGGAAAAAAAATTGTCAGCACTGTAAAGAGGTTCTTACTATGAATGTCAAGCAGTTCAGTTAGTTTAGAACTAGCAAGGGCTGTGCAAGTGGAAGGTTGCCACTAGTGCATAAAATAGCATTCCCAGAACTTGGTCCTGCTAACCAAGAAAGACGTCCAATCAAAAAGAAACCTGTTAACATTGTACTAAAAGTGACAATTGCAAATACATGAAAAATCTGCACATCAATAGAAAGAGAATTCTGAAACTGGGGTTCCCAAACTCCTCTATGAAGCACCAACTGAGTATTCCATAACGAAACGCAGCTTGCGTGGGTTTTCTCCGGGTACTTCGGTTTCCTCCCACATGCAAGACATGCTGGTGGATTAATTGGCTACTGTGTAAATTGGCCCTGTATGTATGCATGGGACCTTTAGATTGTAAGCTCCTTGAGGGCAGGGACTGATGTGAATTTAAAATGTAAGGCGCTGTGTAAATTGCCGGTGCGATATAAATACTTGTAATAAAATTTATGAAAAAAGAGAGGGGAAGAGGCACAACTGTACTATTTATGTATATTTTATAATGTACTTGAAGCTGCTTCTATTTCATGCAGTGGCGGACCTAAGAAACAAAGGGCCCCGGTGCAAGATTTTTTCTCGGGGCCCCCCCCCCCACCACTAACCCTGCTAACCACCAAAGAATTAATAAAGGTGAAAAGAGTATTTGTTTTTTTTGTGTTTTTTTTTTAAAGGCAATTGCTGCTTATACACAGGGCTTAGGTGGCTGTGTGGGGTCTCAGGCGAGCTTTGCAGGGTCTATGGTGGGCTGTACACTCTCAGGTGGCTTACAGGTTCTATGGTGGGCTGTGTGGGGTTAAAGGTGGTTTGTGCGGATTTATTGGTGGCTGTGCGGCTGATAGGTGGTCTGTGCAGAGTCAATGGCAGCTGCGCAGCTCTCAATGCATATACTGAGCCTCACAGGTATACCTGTCACTGTACACATATACATGACCCCCCCTATACACAACGCCCTCCGTGACATACAGTACATATACTGAGCCACACTTCTCACTGTACACATATACAGGACCCCCTCCCCCAATACAGAGCCCCACTTCTCACTGTACACATATTCAGGACCCCCAACACACATATAGTGCCCCACTTCTCACTGCACACATATATACAGGACCCCCAACACACATATAGTGCCCCACTTCTCACTGTACACATATACAGGACCCCCAACACACATATAGTGCCCCACTTCTCACTGTACACATATACAGGACCCACTTCCCCAATACAGAGACCCACTTCTCACATATACAGGACCCCCTCCCCCAATGCAGAGCCTCACTTCTCACTGTACACATATACAGGACCCCCAACACACATATAGTGCCCCACTTCTCACTGTACACATATACAGGACCCCCTCCCCCAATGCAGAGCCTCACTTCTCAGTGTACACATGTATAGGGACCCCCAACCCCACTTTCACAAGACCCCTCCTCCCCCCCCACTCCCCCATACAGGGCCCCACTTATCACTGCACAGTGCACCCTTTTAAAGGTACTGTATGCAAAATCTTGAGGCAATGTAAATAACGAAGTGTGGCCCCTTTGAAAATATATACCAGACAGGGCTGCACTCATATACTGGACACCCCAGCAACAAGACGCCCTGCAGCACATTCGCCCACTGCCTCCCTCTCCCCTCGCGGCCGTTCAGTCCTCCATTCAGACTCACCCGGTATAGGATCCAGCATCACGGCCACACAGTGTGCAGGGGGCGGGGCATGCGACACAGACGCACTCTCGTCTCCCGCCGCCTGTTACTAAGGACGCGGCCGGGAGAGGAGGTGAGTCATAGAACCCGCCCCTTTGCTCAGAAGCTCCTGTGCCGGAAAAAGTGATCGCAACCGCCGCGGCCGACTTTAAAGGGCCCCGCTCAGTCTCCTCTGCCCAGTGGCCACAATCCCCGGGAGTGGATCTCAGTGGGCCCCCCCACTGCCTTGGGCCCCGGGCGGCGGCACCTGCCGCACCGCCAGTAGTTCCGCCACTGATTTCATGTAAGCTGTGCTGCAGAGGGGTTGACCACCAACTTTTAGGATGTCCTATTCCTGACTGCATATTGCAGGAAATGGAGGCAAACCTGTTCAGCCACTCTTCGTTATAATATAATGATTAGATTAGTGTCTGTGATTAATCATTGACTTTATTTTTTTTATCAGCCAATTTGTCAAGCTGCATATGGAAATGAACTAGATGAGGTCCAGCTCCTGTTGGCAGAAGATCCCAAAAATCTGAATGTGAAGGATAGTTTTGGTGGTGACACCCCACTGATCTGTGCCTGCCGGCGAGGTCATATCGCAGTAGTCCGTTATTTACTGTCCATGAAAGCGGATGTAAACCTCCCAAATAATGTAAGTAAAAAAAGTATCAAGTAGAAACATTCATAAGTACATGACATTTAGCCCTCGTTCACACCTGAACGTTTTGTAGCGCGTTCTACGCTCGAAGAACGCTCTACAAAACGCTCAAAAATATAAATTGCATTGGAGTCAATTGACTCGTTCCCACCTTGCCGTATTTCCGCCCGTCCCGAACGCGCTACAAAACGGCCCACGCCTGAAAAGGTACAGGTACTACTTTGGGCTGTTTTGTAGGGCGTTTTCCATTGGAATACAGCCAAGTAGCCTTCGGAATCGCGCGGCGGTCGCGTGACTTTTTTACTGCGAATCGCGGTTAAAAAAACCGCGCGGCGGCAGACGCGCTTTTGCAATACGCCTAGGTGTGAACCCAGTGTTATGGATCTTGTTACGTGATGTTTGTTTTCACTATTTTGCATTGTGGCAATTTGTGCAGAAAAAAAAATGACAACTAAACTTTTTCTTTGATAACTTTGTAACACGTGATGGCTCCTACCTTTTGGACTTAAAGGATCCTGCACTATTCTGTTTTCTTATAATTATCACATCTGAAACTAGACTTGATAACTTTAGATCAGCCTTCTTAACCGGGGTACCTTCCCACTTCCTCAGGGCAGTGTTAATTTCGTTGACAAAAAGTTTTAATTTTTTTCGTCAACTGCATGTTTTTTTGTGACAAACGAAATGAAAACGAAGTATAGAGAAGTTAATGGATCGAAAAGAAAACAAGAATTCTGGGAGTGACTATTCCCTGAGCTCTTCCTGTAGTAGGGAGACATGCACAACTGAATAATAACTGTTAGGGAAGGAGCGAAGTCCCCCCTGTTTGCTGCAGTGGAACCCAATAGCAGGAAACAATACCAGAAGGAGAGTCCAGGCTGAGGTACAAGATAGGATGATCCAAAATGCGTTGCCAGAGTACAGTCCAGGTCGAGGCAGGCAGCGAGTATCCTAAATGGGGAGACAAGCCAGGGGTCGATAACAAGGAGATCCAAATAGCGGGGAAGGAAGGCAGGAAACCGGAAATGAGGTGACATCATTCATCATATATGGACCTGCCCATATGTGGTAAATAATGAGGAGAGGGCTCCTTCTCCTATCTCTCTCCCTGCCCTGTGTGACGCTGACATCAATCAAATCACTGGGGATAGCTGATGAGAGAGGGGAAAGAGTGCTTTCTCTTCAAAATGTACCACATATGGGCAAGTCCATATATGGTGAATGATGTCACTGGGGATCCCTGCAGACTGGTAAGCATCCGATCAGCAGGGATCCCCAGTGACATAATTCACCATATATGGACTTGCTCATATGTGGTAAATGATGGAGAGAGAGGGCTCCTTTCTTTCTCTCTCTCTGTCTCTCTGTCTCTCTCTCTCTCTCTCTCTCTCTCTCTCTCTATCATACTAAAATCACTGGGGATCGTTGATGAGAGAGTGGAAAGAGGGCTCTCTTCAGCATTTACAACAAATGGGCAAGTCCATATATGGTGAATGATGTCATTGGGGATCCCTGCAGACTGGCATCAGCAGGGATCCACAGTGACATTATTCAGCAGGTCTCAAGAATCACTGTCAGTCACAGTGACGACGATCAGTGGGGAGGATCCCGACAGTATTGTCGGGATCTCTCCTCATTGCGGCGCTTAGCCCCGCCCACCATTTTGAAGGGTTTTCAGGCTTAAGGTGCATTTTAACAGGAGTAAATTACACAATTTAGCCTAAGGAATGCAATAATAAAGAAAAGATAGAACCCCATAGTTCTCCTTTAAATAATGCATTACACTTTATATAAAACCATTAGATTTGGTCGACTAAAATACGACTAAAACTAAAATGGCATTTTAGTCAAAAGACTAAATTGAAATTTGCTGTCACAATTAACACTGCCTCGGGTGCCTCGAAATTTTCACACAATGTCATGCCTCTGGTGTGAAGAGAGCTCCTGATGTGAAGTGGGGTTTCCAAAATTAAGGCGGACTCCTGATATAAAGGAGGGATTCTGATGTGGAGGAGGAACCCCCTTTTTTTTCTGTGTTCTTTCATAGGGGTCCTCCCTTTAAAATCCATACTAGGCCACTATTTTGGAAAAGGTTCTGGTATGGATTTTAGAGGGACCATAGATCCTTTTTTTACATTTACAAATGTTTACATATTTGGACTGTGGTATCGAGATTTTGCATACTTTTAAAAGGTGCCATGAGCTAAAAAAAAGTGGAGAAATACTGCTTTAGATAATTGGGATGATGCACAATTAAAAATGGTACAATAAGTTATATTTTGTGATAATTGTATCTGGTTTCTGTAATTCTAAGTTTGATTGGTGGTTTAGAATTATTAGTGCTTTAAATGGCAACAGGAACACTGCTTATCGAGAAGCAAAATTATTATATTCTACATTAAACCGTCAGCAGGAACAAGCTCAAAGTGTCTAGTGTGAAATGCGTCAGGTGGGCTTGTTTCTGCATCTCAGAGTATGATGTTGCTGCTAATGATTGCTTTGGTGCAGCGGCGTCGCAAGGGGGGAGCGGGGGGTGTGGCCTGCACCCGGGTGCCACCATTGGAGGGGTGACACCAAAATGACTGACAAGACATTTTGGTGTCACCCCCCCTATGAAAAGACGGGCACTCGGTCACTGACCGAGAGCCCAACAGTTTCAGGAGAGAAGAGGGGACCCGGCGGCATACCACGTGCATGCGCAATGACGTCACGGCGGGGTGTCACCCGCTCTCCGCTCCGGGTGTCACCCAGCCTTGGGGCGCCCCTGCTTTTGGTGGAAACGAGCCCAGCCAGCACCTGAGATGTGACTGGGGAGAGTGGAGCCTGGCTTTACCTGGAATGGCATGTCATATGTTCAGTGCTTTAAATTGTAGTTTATATCTTTTAGATCTCTACCCACCCATAACAATTTATATACATACACTCAGCACACAGTCCCATGAGTTGATGTCTGTTCTGACTGCAGATGATGAATTTCCGCCCCATTGGGAAATCTTCTTGGCAGACGATATTTCCTTTGGTTCCAATCAAAATGATTAACTAAGTCGTCTCAATCTCTCCCCAATAAATGGTTGAGAGTCTTAACGGTTCAGTGCCATTTACCACAAATCAATAGTCTGTCTTAGAAGACTGCCACGAACATATAGCACACATAATGATTCTAAGAAAAACAATGTCTATTTTTTGGAGAACTACAAACCTCTTTGGTCTTATCTGGCGTTGGCTCAGGAGACATTGGGTATGTTTTATCAACCTAATGCTGGCCACAGACCTTATAAACCATCGCAAGACTTATGTCTTACGATGGTTGTAAGGTAATTAAAAAAACGGACGATCTGCCTATCTTGATCGCAAGCTGCCCCGCTGAGTGGCAGGCTCCCGATGACCGCAATGCTGAACGGGCAGTGTGCGCTTGCGCACACCGGCCCGTGCGGCATTTATTTAACGAACATGCCACACACCCGCCAGCAATCGTTCGATTCTCGGCGGGTTTTCGAACATGTTCCTAAGATAAAAATCGTGCGACCTTACAGTAGGAGAGGTCGCACGCCTTCCACACACCTTGCGATCGTACGATCACGGGATTTCCCGCGATTATCGTACGATTATCGCAAGGTGTGTGGGCACCTTTAGAGTGTCTGGGCTGTAGTAGAATTTCTAAGGCCTGGTTCACAACAATATTCCAGCAGCAATACAAGAAGCTGGCCTTTGCTCAGCACACCATTAAAACTGCCAGAGAACACCAAAAAACCAACGCCACCAGCTGCATCAGTAAAAAATTGAAAGGTAGAATCAACAACAAATTCCTCCTGCCAAAAAGAGCGGCCATTATATTCCTGAAGGAAAGGGTACCAAAGCTGTAAGTCCTCTTTTATCCCACCAGATCCCTGATGTCTCCATAAAGAGGACCTGTCACATATTTTGCTATCACATAAGGGGGTTTTCTAACCCCCCTATGTGATAGCAATAAAGTTTCCCCCCCAAAAATGTAAAGTTACAAATAAAAAAGAATTACATTTTTTTTAAAGTCCCCCCCATACATACACGCATGCAAACAGGCGTCGGGTGCGCATACGTGTGAAAACGACGATTTCGCCCATTACGCCGCACATGTTACATATTGTCGCGAACGTCGGAGTGAGAGCAATAATTGTAGGGCTATCAATCACTGATAACACTAAACTGATGAGCAGTAAAAGCTTTTAAAGCGTCACCTATGGTCAATTTTGGGCATGGTAATTTTTTGCGATTTTTGCGGGTGCGCGCAATTTTAAAGCATGACATGTTTGGTGTCTATTTACCCGACATGACCCCGTCTTTTTATATTTTACCAAAAACATGGGTGATAAATGGGTGTGGTTACTGGGGGTGTGGCCACTAAAGGGTGTGGCCACTGAGGGGTGTGGTCACCGAGGGGCGCTGTAAAGCTTTCTCGCACAGGGCGCCTAAAGGCCTAAGGCCGGCCCTGCCACCAGATAATCACACATGCAAGTAAGTAGTAAAAGCTGATCGGCTTGCAGTTCTGCCCCTCCCAGTCTGAATCCTGTGCTGCAGGGAAGTACAGGAAGATAGTACAAGGACAGTCTGAGGGACTGTTTAAAACAGATTTTCAATGAACACATAAATAGGCTAAATTAGGTATTGGATAGCTGCCTACATTTCTGCTTTAATAGTATTTTTCCTGTTTTTATTGCTGGTTTTCTGTTGCCTTTAACGTTACAAGGTGGAAGCCGATTATTCATTTTTAATTGGAGCTTCTTTGTCTTGACTTGATTTGCTGCACTTAGTGACACCCTTATGCATTTGCTTATATGGAATAGAATTCTGATGCTGGAGCCCCATGTCGCTAAAAACACTCAGCTCTTTCTACAGCCTCGGAGCTTCCTATATCCTGACAGACCAGTGAAAGATTATTTCTGATTGCCAAAGAATTTTGTTTGCATTTGGGTAGTTCTGTTCTTAGATTACCACTGTACTTTGGTTTGAACAATTCCCTTTGCCTCTATTGTTATACAATTCCTTTACAACAGTCATAGTTATCAAACCTAACTATGTAGTACATTAAATGGTAACTGAAGGTGACATGTTGACATTTGAACTGAAAGCAATTTCACCTTTATCTGATTACAGAAGGAAAGGACATGTTTGCACTATGCTGTAAGAAAAAGGTTTACTTTTCTGGACTACTTGCTGATTGTAATCCTGATGCCAGTTATGCTTATTGGCTATGTTATCATGGTGAGTATAGAAAAAGTATTGTTATGAGGTTTCTGAAACTACAGGTATCCATACTCGGACCAATCTCCATCCAGTGTGGGCATCACCTGCTACATTCAGCCAACGATCAGGCCAAGAAGGGCTTACCTAGTAATAAAGAATACTTCCGAGTGTTAAAAGCACTACTTGCTGCATGCAATGTTATTCCACCATGACATTCCACTGCCATGCTTAATGTATGGGCACACACAACTAATAGATCCACTATAGCACACAATTAGTATCAAAATACAAGTGCTTGTAATTCTCTCTCAATACTGATCCAAAGATGATTAAATATCACCTATTATCACATTTCTGAAGCTGCTAATATGCATAATATTTGGTTTCTGCACTGTAAAATCCAATTAGTAAACCTTACTAAAAAAAAGCATGCAAACCGATTGCCTCAAAAAAGCAAGTAAACTAGAGTAGGAATTGTATTTTGTACTTACAAATTCTTATTGAGTATGGTACACTTACACATTAGTATACACAATTAAAAAAAATGAGTGTATATTACTTGAAAAGTTACTTAAGGTGTACTCTTTACTAAGCATAGATTACTCAGATTTGCTACTTCAAATAACAAAATAATTTTAAGTTAAGTATACAGTGTACGGTATTACAAAGAACAACTTTATTTAGGTTGGGCTAACTAATGTGATATTTTATGCAACTTCTAACTACAACTCAAACTACAATGTTTGAGTTGTAGTTAGTTGCACAGCAGTCTGATTTAATTGTTAAAACCATACAAACCGATTGCCTTTAAAAAAACCAAGTAAATGGTACTTGTAAAATGGATGTTGGAAAGACTGAAATAACTCATAACCTCTTGCTACACGTGGGGCATATGGCCAGACCACATAATGTCACCAGCCTGCTTCTGGGTTTGGGGTGCACCTGCCACCCATGCCGTGAATGGACAGAGCCCAAGTTAATCAACAGGTTATGATGGCTGAAACCTGCTGATCGTCTCTGTCCAATCACAGACAAGAGTTCTGTGTCATTGATCTGATTGTTTCTTGTGCCCTGCGAGCAGGGAGGAAAAAAAACAATCAAATCTGAGTAAAAGCTGCACACATTACTCTTGTTAGGCACACAGTTAACCCTTTCATTGCCCTTAGATGTTAACCCCTTCCCAGCCAGTGTCATTAATACAGTGTGCAATATTATATCGGACCACTGTATTAGTGTCACCAGGGCCGGCCTTAGGGGTGTGCGAGCAGTGCGGCCGCACAGGGCGCCGTGCGGCCGACACAGCTCGTCCTGGGGGCGGCTTCTCTCCCCCTCACCGCTGGGCACCGGCCACC